ATCAGTGTTGATTCAACACCTTACCCATTGTCATGGAAGGCATCCGTGTTTCAGTTCTAACAGGTATTTTCTTTTCAATTTCAGAATGTTTGGGAATGGCATTGACAACAATTTCACCCGACCCAATGAGAAGGGAGAGTATGAGGTAGCACATGGCATTTCATCGGAGTTGTTCAGCGCAATTTTAGTAAGCTCTGTAATTTACATCCCTGATCAGGCCTGTCTTTCTTTCATCTATTTTATGATGCAAGAGTAACCATTGCCGGACTAAAACTATCAAACTACTGCCTTTAATGTACCATTACTGGCTGGCTGACCACCTCAGTAGGTAACAGCATTGTTAAGAAACATAAAATTGGTAAAAAAAATACTGTTTATTCGGGCATTTACATTAAAATGCAATATAGATTTAAACCTGACAAAAGTTTTAAACTAGACGATAAAATACAGTGAAATGCTCAGGAGAGTTTACAAATTTAAAATAATATTAATTGTAAATATTAAAAGAAAAATTTGAAATTATTCATTTAAAATTTTTCTACTCTCCTGAGTCACCAAAAGGTATACATGTACATGTAGATCACTCAAAACCCAAACAAGAATAAGGCAAGAAAAGACAAAAAGTGGTTGACAATATACATGTAAGTTGACAAAGAAAGTACCTTTGAATTCATGGATTGTGGATTTAGAAAGATTCTAACCTGGAATGCCTTGAGAGTCTTCATAAATTTGATGTGGTTCCTTTTCTTCTATAGGAGTACTACAAGGGTCGACCTATACGATGTCCCCCCAGTGTGTCGGTGTCGGAGCTTAGAGAGGCCTGCGATTACCTTTTGGTCCCTTTCAATGAAAACACTGTCAGATGCAAGAACCTCAGTAAGTACACATGTATCACCGAGTCCTTGCCTTGCCAAACATACCATGATTCACGGCCAGGTGATTTCATTACTCTAGTGGATTCAGGACTTATGCATTTTTATGATTTCAGGGCCCACAATCGTAAGCTTTGCTTTTTAGTGGGTACCTCCACGCCCCCCCCCCCCCGGGTCAAATATATTGTTTGGAAATTGAGATTGTATGTATGCAAAATTGTGGAAATAAATGAACATCAACAAAATGGATTGATTCAGTGTCTGCAGGAATTTCAACCTCAACCATGGGCATGTTTGGACTGTTGTAACCAGTAAGTGTTTCGGTTGCAGGTCATTGGTTTGAGAATATTGGTTATTTGCCAATTTCATAAACAATTTTGCTCTTTTCCATCCATGATTGTCAGTATTTACTTTTGACTTAATGTATTAATCCCCCCTAGCATTCTGCACAAGCGGATGGATCTTTTGAAGGGACGTGGGGCCAATTTCATAGAGTTGCTTAAGCACAAAATTTGCTTAAGCGCAAAAAACTTGCTTAAAAACAAAGGTTACCAGCTCAAAATCTCGAAATGTCAAACTGACCAAAGACAGGTAAATACCATTCCAAAACAATATACATCACATGGAGTTTTGGCTGGTTACCTGATTTATCAAGCAAGGTTTTTTCATGCTTAAGCAAATTTTGTGCTTAAGCAGCTCTATGAAATTGGTCCCTGATCTTTAAGTTCACCATTAGGCACATTACTAAATGCAATGATTTCCAACAAAGCTGAAATAAAATTCCTGCTGAAAATAACAGTGGAGTTTTCACCATGTGCAGTGCACGACTACATTGACTGGTAAATGTTTCAGCATGTAGAACCAGTGATCATAATATCAATTGTGCCATTTATATTCTGATCAATTGTTTCCTGCAGGATGTTTATTACATGAGATTTCCAATGATGGTGCTAGAGAAGAATTTGAGAAATATGTAGAAACTCTGATTCTGCCGGAGATGGTGTCCTGCGCAAAGGTCAGTTTGATCTGGGGAAGTCAGAGGCTGTGACCATACCCCAATTGAGTCACTAGTGGTCATTGTATTACCCCCATTGGGGCATTAGTGGCCATGATTGTATCCCCATTGGGGTATCAATGGCTGTAATACATTACACAGGAATGTTATTCAGTTATTGGGTGCATTCACATAGGTCACCCTGGATTGACTGTTAGCCTCTACAGGGAGCTAATCAGACAACCTCACGTTTCTTGAGCAGAAAGTGTTACAAAATTCCAGGTGGCTATTAAAACTCTTCATAATTAATGCTACTGCCCAGTACCAATGAAAATACCTTGACTCTTTTAACACTAGTGAAGCAAAAACCTTTTTTACAAAGGGCAAATTTTCTGCATTTCTTAGACTATGCAGGCTGACTCTGGGCTGTAAGTGGGGTTTCTAGCTTCCTGCTTGAGCCCTCAATATGATGCTAGAACGACAAATGGCTTGATGCTAACCCGTGCTGAACCTAGAGAGCCACTCAGAAGCACCCATTTGTATTATTTTGTTTATTTCTGTAATTCTTTATTCACCGAGGGTAAAGTCCTATTAGTTTTATTTCTATTCTTTCTTGGGGCCCAGGATAATGAAAAGTATTCAGTTTTTAGGAGGTTGGAGGAAAACTGAATCATAGAACCATGGAATCATTTAGGGGCTGAAACTTCAATCCAGATGTTGGCCCGGGTGGGATTCGAACATGTTTTGTGGAGGTAGAAGGTGAGAGAAAAAAAACCACTTCACCAACCTGGTTTCCCTTCCCCCAGGGGTAGTGTGGTATCCCACAGTGGGGTATCAGTGACACTGATTGTATCCACAGTGGGATATCAAGATTATGCATACAAAGCTCTAGATATGTCTCGGTTATTCTCTGAGTGCATGCAAAGCCTCTCTTTTTGAGCCAAGAGCCATTACCAAACATACATGTACTAAAGGTTTGTTGGTATGTTTAAGAACAGTAAATTTTCCAACATTTGGAGCTGTTTCATTCACTTGTACAAAACGTTTTCTTTGTGTTGTTTATCATGTAGCGTGGCCAGAGAGAGTGCCACATTGTGGTGTTGATGGACGATGATGTCGTGGAATGGGATGAAGAATATCCACCTCAGATGGGAGAGGAATACTCACAGAGTAAGCAAGAATCTCATTTTTGGGGGGGCTGAGCACATTTTTTTTTCTGATGTGATTTGTATGTGAAGAGTTGAGGACCCATGGAGGTAAAGTTGCCACTGCCGGGAAGCCACAAATTCTAGAAGAAACTTTACACAGAAGATATCTAGCAAAAACAAATACAGCATGAAAAAGCTGGAACTGACTGATCTAATCCACATCTTTCAGTGGGAGGGGGGATGTTGCTCAAACTAAGAAAGGAGTAAACGTGTTGGTTGGTCTGAGACTGGCCAAGCGTACATCTCCATTCACAAACACTGTTTTGTATAATTCTGTGAAGTCTTTGTCGTTTTGCCATTTTGTGTGCCTTTTTACTCTCCGTGTTCATTATGGGCAAAAAAAAAAGTCATTTGTCACAAATGACTTTTTCTACATCTATCACTGTACACAATACAGTGCTTTAAAAGACACAAACAGGACCGTCAACCAGACTAAAATGGCCGGTATTGCCATTGGTGATTCGGAGTGGTCATTCAGCAACAAAGCATGGCTGGAATACTGGAAAATTGTATTTTGCAATAACAACAGAAACAAGACTTCTAGATGGATATACAATCAAATTTAACTCTACCATTGTGAATTTAAAATGGCTTACTTTAATAATTTGGAAGGTTCATCAAACAGCCGTGTTGGTGCGTACAGACACTCGTGCTTTACAACAACATTTCAGGCTTAGTAAAAAAATGTACATTTATTGCTCTTTATCAGTGTTTTTAACTTGCAGTTCATTCAAGAATGGTTGTTACTGGTAGCAATTTTTTCCCTCGCCAAGTATCTCTAGGCTTCAAAATCCACCTAGGGCTGACTCAATTTGAATATCTCACTATTCAAATATTCAACCTTCAATTCAATCAAATATCTGAATATTCGGCCTTACCAACTGGCAGATTGTTGATGATTTAAACCATATACAAAATCGGTTTCATTAATGCACACAAATGTACATTATAATCACTGTAATAACTTGTCACATCTAGGAGTATCTCCAGCCATGATTTAGCAAGATTAAAGAGACGAACAACATTTTTTGCCCTGTTGAAAATTTCTGATCTTTTTAATTTTGTAATGAATAATTTGTTTTTTGAGTCGTACGATTTCTGTTGCTTTTCATTTAAATCTGCTTGAAACAAGCCTTTATAGTCCAGTGTTTCTCATTTAAACAGAAGAAACTTCTAGCTTCCTCTTCGTGAATTTTGCATGTGGATATTTAAATTCAGAAAATATTCGGCACGGCCCTAAATCCACCCACTTTTAGTGGAACATTAGCTTCCTTGATGACAGTTTGTACATTTTTAAATTGTGATGTCACATCGACTGCGTGTACCTCAATGGAGCCAGTGCACTTCCGAAGTACATTAGAAATACACACACGACGTATGTCATTCAAGGACTACTTTTGTTGCTGGGTTGGGCTTTATCAACTATTTTAAAGTGACAGGTTTTCAACCAACAGGAATGGATAAACTGGGTCACATACATACATGCGTTTATGAATCACAGATACAATGTATATGGTAATACATGTGTATCTAGGAAGAGAATATAATATATAGGGAAGTCCAGTCACAACAAGCCGTGTACCTGAATTACATTACTCACTGTCAGTGCACCAGGCTGCACTGAGCACTGTCTGATGAAAGCTAAATGAGCAATTTGAAATACCTGGTACTTCCCTCAAAATATGGCCCAATGGCTGTCTACTAAAGTTCAGTCTTGTGCCCGACAGACAGGCATTCAACAACTTTTTTCCACACATTTTACAATGGAATCAGGTAAGGCCAAAAAGGTCTTGGTTTCTGGTCAGGAGTTGGCTCCAAAAGTGGTGTGGTGACGCTGCCTTTTTTTTCCCTCACTTTTTTTTCTAGAAATGATGATAAGGTGCGATTTCCATCACGATTGCATGCGCACATAACTCTGGCCACTACCAATATAAAATAGACTGGTCCCCACATTTTTACTATTTAAAAGCATTTTTAGCTTGTGCATGTACATGTACACAGGACATAAGACCACCTTGTTTGTTTGGTTCCCAGATGTAAGTGTTTAATACAGAAATGACGTTATCTGAAAAAAATGCCCGACTAAATGTATGGGGAACTACATGTACATGTACACGGGCTCCTGTTCTGTACGTATTACTCAACTGTACCCCATCAAAAATATTGAGCAGTATATTGAGCAGTAGCTGGATTCCAGTCAATTAAGCAAGTTTGGCAGCCTTTGGGCAATGTTTTATTTTTAAAAAATCTTTTTTATTTTGCCAATACACAGGTCTGCGGCGACGCGCATGCTGACCAGAAACCAGAGACTTTTTTTTGCCTTACATGTTCTTAAATGCATCCTTTCTGCTGGACAGTGCAAACAGATAAATGAATTGAATTGATTAAGAACCATATGATAAGATTTTGTACACAATGAAAATCACCTTACACTTTTTAAAAAAATAATTGACCCATCCAGAGTATATCAAACAAACAGGAACATAAATAAAAAGAAAATTTAAAGGAAGGCGTCAAAGATACAGATTGTAATGTTCAAGGTGATAATCACTTATTATTGTTAAAATATTTGACGTAACAACTTTGCTACTACATGTACTTGAAAAGGCACCACGGTCTAACAGAATTCTTCAACCTGTTAATGCAGTTCTGAAGGAGAGGTATGGGTTTTTTTAAATATCAAAGTTATTTGACATCTCATGTGAGGTGAGAGCGGAACAAGACTGCATGGCATTGCATGCGAGGCACTAGTAAGAATTATCTTACTTTGTCTCACAGCTTCCTAACACAGTGGGTCATGATCACGTGCAGACTACAGAGTCAGTCTGGAAAAATGCTCTTTTTAGTTCCTAATCCGTTTACTTCTAGACCTGGAATAGTTATTTTCCTTTTGACTATGCAATCACATTGCCATGATTGCTATGGCTCTTGAGCTTGTCTGGTCTGTGTGCGCAGAGCATTAATTCTGACTCTCTGATACAGATTTAAGTTCAATGTTGAACATGTGGAAAAGCAATGTATTAATTTTTACACGATAATGCAACTTCAGCAGTAATAACTGGAGGCTGCAAGCTTCCATTGAGAATGACTAAAAGACCAAAGGAAGCAAAGGAGCAGAAGCACCCCCTCATCGGTTGAAAAGAGCCATGTTGGTCAGGAGTGTTCATTTTGTTGGTAGCGACGCGATCGTAATGCTTGTATTTCATAGTTGTTTGTGAACCAGCGAAGTGCAGCTCCAACAGAGTAACCCTCCGTTGCTTGGAAAAGTGGGCCCTCTCTTGGTCCAGCTCAGGGCTCATTATCAAAGGATCGCATAACCTCCATATTAAAAAAAATGAGAAGAAATTTGATAGTTAAGAAACTAACATTTAAATATACATGCACACTAAGCTGTTATGAAGGAAATGTAATGTTTATGCATATGCACAAATATAAGCTACTTGCCTACATATGACATGCCCTTTAACGAACTGTTGATTACTTGATTTATTTTCCAGAATTTTCAATTTGGTCTTGGGCAAGAGGTGTGGATTTTAAGGATCCTGTTAGTTTCTCACAAAGTTTTTGACCTTTGGCTCCATTCATACTATATTTTTGCAGTCGTGTGCAGCACCCTACTGTATCGGTTTTTCAAGTACATCGAAAACAGAGATGTGGCAAAGACTGTCCTGAAGGAAAGAGGCCTGAAAAAAATCCGGCTGGGGATTGAAGGTATGCCTTGTGTCAGACAGCGTTGGCAGTGTAAAATCTGAACTTTTTTTATTGTATCAGAAACACCTACTGTGTGAAATCATGATTTCCTAAGTTGCCAAGAGTTGCTTTCTTGTTGAAATGAGATATTACAATTTGTACCTCGTAAAGTTAGATCACTATTTAATTTTTACAGGATACCCTACTTATAAGGAGAAGGTCAAGCAGAGACCGGGTGGCAAACCAGAGGGTAGGTTTCTGATGTCAATTACTACCAAACTTTGAAATCTAAAAGTTTCGACTTCAAAGCATTTTCTTATTCATGATCACATTTTCATTCCAAATTCTTTGTTTGATAAATTCTACACCATGTCTCACTGCAGGGAGTGCTTGTTTTATTTTGTTTTATTACGTTTTTAACGTGTTGTGCTGTTTGATGAAGGAAAGATTTCTTGGGACTGTGCCTATGGCATACACAGAAAGGTTCCCGTGCACTTTGGCATTCCCACATGCAGGTTGATCTTAGCAGATTTTGGGATGTTATCACTCGAACATTTCAGGTTCTCTGAGTTTTTCAAGCTTCCACATGTCAGCTTATGTGTAACTACCTCGACTTTCTGCAAAGGAGAAGCTATGACTTATGAAAGATGAACAATTTTACACAGTTTTAGGGGCAAAATAAAGTAGTTTCCAAAGATAATTTCTGAATTAGGTTAGACTTCCAAATTGTTCTCTGCTCTGAAACCCTGAGATGGGGCCCAGTGTCTGACCCCCTGAATGACAAGCTTGATTACTGTATGGTCCACTCTTTGTGTTTCCTGACTTGCAGTGATCTACAACTACGTCCAGCGCCCGTTTGTGCGCATGTCATGGGAGAAAGAGGAGAACAAGAGCAGGCACGTTGACTTCCAGTGCGTGCGGAGTCGGTCCATTCCAAACCTGTCCAGCGTGGCTGGGGGAGAAGCCCTGCTGGACGGAGACCTACGCCAGGCCCCACCCCATGCTGAGGGCGTGGCCATGCTCAGGCAAGTTTTGCCCGACCCCCCAGATGGGGAAGCCAATGACGGTAATGCGTAGCTTGTAGTGTGTATATATACGTATACAAAAGGTACACTGAGGTTTTTTATAACGGAGACTGTTAATGGAAGAATGAGGGTAATGGAATATGGCAGGAGTAGGCAGTGTATGTAGTGTAAAAAAAATTCAGTAAAATTTTAGCACAAAAGTACAAATAATGTATAAGTTTAAAAGATAGATAGCAAACACTTGATGCTGCTCCTTGAGGTTCTTTTCTTCATTTGATGCATATGATTACGGCTGAGTTCATGTCATGATGTTTTCCAGGCCCGTTTCAGCCGTGACTCCGCTGTAGACAGGTTTTGAAACTTTCTGGCTCCAGTAAATTAACCCTGATGGTAATAAGAAAAAAAAACAAATTGATACTTGAGTAACCTGTACATACCCACTTTGATTATGAATGACTTTTGGTGTTGAGCTTAGTTATGTATGAGTATTGATTTAAGTACATGTAGGTGAAGCATTACAATTTTCAGTTTTAAAAGCAATGAAATAATTGTTAACAGTTTTACAAAGTCTGTACATGTGTACATGTGTATTGCTTAATGGTGATTTTCTCCTAGCCTTACACATAAATTGTTCTCATAATTTAGCCCCACACTAATAAGCATTCTTTTTAAGAGAAAAAATGGAGTGTTTGCAAGTTGCTGGTGGCAACTACATCAGGTGCAACCATTTTCATAAGCTCATATGCACCAAGCATATTGTATAGGTTTAATCCTTTACAGTAAACCATCTAACGTTCACTCCCACTGGTTAAAAACGAAATCAATATAACCCCTCACATATGTTTGCGCCACCTAATTTGGGGGAAGTTGGTAGACAAAAAAGCCTGTGTAACTTGTTGGTACAAGCAGTTTTCATTTGGGTAAATTAAAAATGGGATACAGCTTAGAATAGATGGTGCTCGGTCTACTTGAGAAAAGCTTCTGTCTGTGTCAATGGCATGTAATGTGCGACTTATACCTGTGAAAAGATTCAAGCTGAGCTTTGAAAAGGGGTTAAATCTGCAATATTTAAGAATGCAATGGAATATTCTTTTGTAACTACCGTATTTGATGATTGTTTTTACATCTGTTAAAAAAAACCTACCAAGGGCCCAGTTTTATGGACTCGGTATTGTGAAATTTGAATGGTAAGAATGTAACTTTGTATGATATACCGAAACAAGTTGGTGTGTGTTATCTGCAACTGATAGGCATTAGTCCTGGATGGCATTTTGAAGTACATATAACATTTTGGGGCAGTAAAACAATTTCACCCAGGGACTACATGTAATTGATTCTGCATTCTGAAGGTGTGTTGAAGTGGGATTGGGACGAGTTTGCGGTACTTCCTCAAACCAAGCCGTGCAGGCTGCTTCATTCATTGACAAAGTTCTTGCTAATTTGAAATGACATTTGTTATGCTCATAGCTAAAGAGACATGCTTGTATTATTGCTTGATGTATTGAAGAAATGCTGCCTTGATGTAATAACCAGTTTACAAAAAAAACCAATTTTGTACTAAAGGAAAAACTGAAGCTTAATTTTTTGAAACTTTCCATTTTTAAAATACAAAATCACTTTTCCGTCATGTGCACTGATGCTTGAGAAATGGTAGAACAGTATTCCTAGTCTAAATAGCGCACACCCAGGTAAGGGTCTGACTCCCATCAAAGAATACATGTAGCGTAGTTACGTCTCAAAAGTAATAATTGCTCGAGAGCAAACATGTAACTTGCTATCTTTCATAGTCTTCTCTAAAGTGTGAGCACTGAAGTTAAACTTTCACAGAGATGCTATCGTGAATACAAAGTTACTTGAGAAATTTAGCCAAAACCTGTTCGGGAACTAAGAAGCCCTAAATCAACTCAGAAACATATCTGTTTGCTTAGGAATAGGGTAGAAATGTGTCAGTTTTGATCAGCGCAGTCTAAACAATTCTTAGAATTATAATTATCTAATATGAAAGAATATTTACAAAGCAAAGATGATGGACTGTTTGAAATTTGAAGACAAAATCAACCTTTTTGCAAGTAAAACTTTTATGGTCCTTTACCTCAGTGGCCTATTTTTCTATCCACATGTGACTTTGAATATTCATGAGACTGAAAAGCAAGTGCCTTCTTGCACGTTTCATGTGCAGTTTAACTTTGAAAACAAAATTGTCCTGAATGAATGTATTAGATTGGATTACGAGTAGTCACTCCTATTTCTCTCGAAATTAACAACAGCTGACTAGCATGTTCTTTGATGCCAAGCTCTGACTAGAAAGAATCTAATATGAGATAATGAATATTTATTGCAGGGTTGCTTAGGTTAACCAGTGAATTAATAGCATTTGAATGCTGTCTGTTGAATGGCTAATGCATACCCAGTAAGGTTTAACTTTGTCATTTTCCAAGGAAGCAACTTCAAACCTGGAGGTTTATCTTTCTTGGAAGAAAGACTTATGGTACATTGACTAGACATTAACATAAGACACTGTTCAAACTTGTTCCTGCTGTTTCACCTGATTTTGTGCAGTGTCATAATGCATGCATTGGCTTGCACTGGTCTTAGAAAATTAGAGTCTTCTGTGATCCACTAAAGTCCTCGCTACAACATAACCTTACTGATGGCACACTGTCTGAACTCCAGGAAACCATGGGTGGATCCATTTCTTTGATACAGGTGTCATTCCTGTTATAAAATTTCTTCTAAAGGTCAACCTTAAAAGTAGTTCTTTAGCAAATGGTGCATGAATTTTGCCATCATCTGCATGTAAAAATTTATGGTTTTGTAGTATTTTCTTTGAAATGGACTGTGGAATGATACAGGAATGTACAAATACATGTACATATATAAAAAAGTGTATAAAATGTATTCATTGATGGATGTAAACAGGTGTTTTGGGGATTATGGGTGCAAGTACATGTACATGTAGGTAGTTGAGCTGAAGGGATTTGCTCACAGTGATTTGGAAAATCAGGGTTCCACAGTTGGTGAGATCACAGTTGCTGCTTTTTTTTCTCAGGGACTGAAAAAAAGGGGAAAATTTTGGATGGGTTGCTGATTTGACAGCGGTGAATGACACCTTTGGATCCTCCCTTGGTGTATGCCTGTGAATTAGTGCTCTACCAATGTGAGGCATTGCAAGCACACACACAAAGCTAGTGAAAATTGGTGTGTTAATGGTCCATCATTTAATCAGTTCCATTTTGACAATGGGAACTCTTCTCTGGCATATTAAATGAGTCCTTGTTCCTAGGGAGTTATTGTAACCTAATCACCCCTAACAAGTTTCATCATTGAATGAAGTGAACAAATGCCAACATGCATGCGTTAGTTTTGTCTAGCCACTTTTGCATATTAAGCCTGTACAAAGAATATGTAGCATGTTATTAGATATATATACATAAAAAGACTATTTGTAGAAAACACATCATATCAGTTTATTTACCTACATGTACTAGCTTTGGAGCAGAGAGAGGCAAAAGTGATTTTCCATTGAAGATTTTCCACTGCTCTCCCAAAACTAGATTTAAAAATGGATGAATTTTTGGTTAACTTCCAAACTTATGAAGTTCTCTCTGATCATACTGCATTGTAGCATATCCCCTGATACCTGATGCACAATGCCAGTCTTGTTTCTTTGAACTAAAACCAGTTGAGAGAATCTTGCCAGAGAAGTGATTTCCTTCCACCAACAAGAAGAAACTTTGTTGTTTGTTTGTTTTTTTATTGCTTTGATTAGTTGTTCAAATTTACAAAAGAATGTGAAAAATTGCTCTGTTCTGCTCTTTAGTTTTTTGTTTTGGGGGTTTTATTTGCTTTGTAATCGACACCCATATTGTATTTTATTATTAAATCGTGAATGTTATACCTCAACCTCATTACATTTTTATAACTTGTTACATTTTTTCTATCTAACTGCATTTCCCCATTTACTATGGACGTTCTCTCAGGCCAGGTAGAAATGTACAGTAGTTTCTCGGTCCAACTTGTTTTGTTTTACCCAGCCGCCGCCTTCCAAAAATGTTAATATTTTGTTGTCATATTTGCAGGATTCTTGACTGCATTAATTTGGCAACAAAACAGCTTTAAATGCAGGTTTAAGATCTGTTAGAGTTGAGAATTCCTTTTTTAGGTATACATAAAAATGATACAAATTGGTTACAAATATCCACCTGCCATTTTGGAAATCTGAGACTTTAAGGGGGGGGGCTGCCTCCCTTGAAAAACAAATGCCTGGACGAGAACCAGTTTGTTTTGTTATTGTTGTTTTTGTTTTACTTGGTCTTATAGTGTATATACTTATATAGCTTACTTGGGTGGGACTCGAACCCACGACCTCCTGCTCGTGGAGGTCTTGAAAATAGTTCATGGTACCTGCTGCTTCACCTGACTCGGACCGGCCAGCCAACCCCGGTATGCTCGGTGGTCGAGTGGTTAAGACATCTGCACTAGTAAGCAGGTGGTCGTGGGTTCGAGTCCCACCCAAGGAAGCTTGTGACTTTTTTGGCAAGCTGTCGGACAAGCACTGAGCATACAGTGTTTATTAATATATATTATGTTGGGTAAGGGCAAACCCGTAATAGAAATTAACATCTCCCCAACGCAAAAAAAAATACATCTTGAAAATTGGTCTTATAGGTCTGTTATCAGCTGCACTTTTTAAATTGGTATGATGGAAGGCCTGCATGTTTATCAAGAAGTGCATTAAAGTTAACTTTTGCTAACATTCCGCATGTTTGTGATTTAGTGTACTCGATCTTTTAGAAATAAGAATAAGGCCGTACATACGAGTCACGTGGCTGTGGCTTGAAATTACATGCAACTCTATCATGGGATCTGGCCCACCCACTACCATAGACTTGTGCATAATATTAGGCCAAAGTCGGGTAATTCGCACACAACCTAACACCGGTGCTAAAACACGACTGGGGATGCTAGTAAGTGTACAATGTCGAAGTGTTACCATGGAGCTTTCCCTTTTTATAGCTCCGTGGTGTTACCTGCATAAGCTAAACTTGGCAGTATTTAAGTCGTTGGCTAAAATCCACAGCTAAACTTGTTATTATTCCAGACCTTTTTTTCCCCAAGGTGTGTAAAAGAATTCATGTTTATTGGCTATAATTGTTCATAAATAAATCAAAAAGGCAAACAGTCCTTGGTAATTTATGTTTTTGCATTTAATTGCTTGCTTGTCAATAGCTACTAGTTTCGAGGGGAAGAAATAAGTTTCCATGAAACCACTGATTTGTGGTTGCAGGAACTCATTCTTGGCTTTAAAAGACCTTTTAGACCTGGCAGTCCAGTTTTTCCAGACGAGGAATTGCTTGGTTTGAGGACTCATCAGTAAAAATGCTGATTTAATTTGTACCCTTATTAGAGACAATGGCAGGGGGCTGTGGGAGCTTGAACCCCGACCCGTAAAAGGTTTTCAAGAT